TGATGGAATCAAACCAAGCCGCCCAGGCCAAAGTGGATTCAAACTAAGTCCCCCAGGCAAAAGAAAAATTGTACAAGGAAGTAAAAAGAAAAATAATTCTAACTGCTGAGAAAGAGCTGACCTTTTCATGCTCCGGACATCACCAGAGACTTCTCCCACTACTGCCGGTTGCCGCCAGCCCCCTATTGCTTGTTGCTGCCGGCCCCCTCCCACTACTACCAGTTGCCGCCAGCCCCCTATTGCTGGTTGCTGCTGGCCCCCTCCCACTGCTGCCGGTTGTGGTTTGTGGTTTCTGCCTTTAAAAATCGCCTGTAAGCTGAGCTCGGGGCTGCTGTTCTCTCACTCTCCTTCTGAGTGAGGCAGGAGCCTCGTCTGCGCAAACGATTAAATCCTCTTGCTTGTTGCATCTCCTGGTCTGAGGACTGAGTTATTGGGGTGCGGCCTCCTGTGGACGTTGGGTACCCCAGCCTGGGGGTCCTACATTACATCTAGGGTAATTTTTATTTTCTGTTTTTGCTTTTGATTTTTGTTTTGTTTGGAGTTTGTTTCTTCTTGGTTTTGTTCGGGGTCCAAGGAATTCCCCAAATTGACCACTTGGATACTGAGTCGCAGTAAACAGAAGTGCTTTATTGAAACCAACTGGCTGGGGACACAGACAGTCTCGGGAGCTGTACTATGACCCCTAGCAGTGAAAACGCAGGGCTTTTAAGCAGAAAACCCACAAAAACCACAAAGCTGGGGATATCCATAGAAACTATACACAGAATAACCAGGAAAGGATTGGAACAATCTAGAGCTAATTTCCAGAGACTTTACCTATAAGCCATTGGCTGTCTTACCTGGGGCAGAACATTCTTTCTCTTCTGTCCCAGATTATTCCCATACAGACCATACACAGATGTATCAAGTATACTGTTATTGGCTAGCTTACCTGGGCAGAACGTTCTATCTCTTCTGCCCCAGGCCATTTCAATAGAAATCATAAACAGATACCAGGAAAGGGTTTGAACAATGGAGGGGATTTCCAGAGTTAGGTGGAGGGCAGCTTTTTCTCAGAGGATAGGGAGGGGTTCTGAGGGGCACTTTCCTTCAGTTTTGTTTTTCAGACAGAGTCTTGGCATGTAGCTGAAGTCTGCTCAGACTCACGACCTTCCTGTTATTCTTCCTAAGTGCAGGGAATACTGGCAGGAATCACCATGCCCAGCCAGAAGCAACCTTTTATAAATATTTTATTGATTTATTATTTATTTATTTATTTATTTATTTATTTATTTTTTGTCTTTTTGAAGCTGGGTCTGTCTCCCTGTAGCCCCAACTGTCCTGGAACTCACTGTGTAGATCAGGCTGGCCTTGGACTCACAGAAATCCGCCTGCCTCTCTCGGCCTCCCAAGTGCTGGGACAGACGTGTGCCACCACATCCAGCTTATTTTATTTATTTTATGTGTATGCATGTATTGCCTGCATGTACGTAAGTGTACCCATGTTGGGCAATGCCCATGGAGGACAGAAAAGCCGTCAGATTCCTTAAAAATGGAGTTACGGACAGTTGTCAGCTGCCATGTGGGTGCTGGGATTTGAACCCGGGTTTTCTGTGAGAACAGCCAGTGTTGTTAACTGCTGAGCCATCTCTCCAGCCCCAGAAGAAACCTTTTAAAACCACAATAAAGATATCACTCCAATTATTCTCAGGGCACAGGACAAGCTTTTCCGTCTCTCTGGCCCTTAGTTTCCTTACTGTGAGATGAATGACTATCCACATGGATAGACAACTACCACCTATTCTGACCAGATCATCTCAGAAACCACTTTCTTCCTGTGCATATAAGGAAGCTGAACTTAGCCGAAGTGCTCTGCTTACAACTTCCCTGTCCATACTGCAAAGATCCAGAGAAGACTATGTTCAGCAAGGGCTTCAGTCTAGAAAAATATTTTAAAAGTTCACTTCATCCTAGACACAAGCACTCTGGAAAGCAGAGCAGATATGGCCCAGAGATACCACAGAGAAACGAGGACATGGGGACATGACAACGTGAGTGCAGTACCGGCTTTATGAACATGTGTTTGTTACTCTCCCTTAACCCTTTCCATACAAAATTACTGAAAATGACCATTTAATTGTGAAACTACCCAGATAACTTGACTCATGTCAAAATCAAACCAAACAAAAATGAAACGTCCTGTCAGCCTCTGACTTGGGGTTACCTAGAGACACTGTGTATGTGAGCCAGGTGTGGAGACTGACTCAGGCCTATTATCCTAGCACTTGGGAGGCAAAGGCAAGAGGATCAGGAATTCAAGGCCAGTTTAGCTACACAGTGAGTTCAGGGCTAGCCTGGGTTACACAAGAACCTGTCTAACAAACCAACACCAAACTAAACCAAAATGCCCATAATACATGCAGAGCTGGGAAAAGAGCACTTACTGAGTGCATTCTTCAAAGATATTCTTAAAGGAGGCTTTGTGCTTCAGAGTCCATTTACAGTCTTTCACATTATCTGAAAGTAGTTGTGATAAGGAGTCTGCTGACTTCTGAATCTAAAACAAACCAAATACATAATAATTAGTGATTTCACAGTCCTCTATCACTCATACACAGAACCTAATGCTTATTGTAAAAAAAGTGTATGAAGTAAGTCAAAGTGCCACCCCACTCCTACTTGCTAGCACTCAGCCTAGTCTGCTTTTCAGATTTGTTTCTAGACACCCAAAACACATCCAGAAGAGAAAACAGGGTCTCAATGAGGCGTCTAGATACCCATATTCACTGCAGAACTATTCACATGAGCCATAAGATACAAACATCAGGGCTGGGGACAAGGCTGAGCTGGGAGAGTACTTGCCTAGCATGCAGACGACCTGGGTTTGATCCCCAGCACTGCATAATCCAGGCATGAAAACCAGCCCCTGTCCATGAATGGATGGCTGGATAGACAAAGAGAAAACACTTTAAAAAGACATTATCAGGTTGGGGACATAGCTCAGTGCTAGAACACTTGCCTTGGGCTGAATTCTCAGCACTGCAAACAAAATGAATAATTTTTTAATGAGATTTATCTCACAGAGATCCACCTGTCTCTCCCTCCCAAGGGCTGGGATTAAAGGTGTGTGCCACCACACTTGGCTACATTTTTTTTTTTTTTTGGTCTTTTTGAGACAGGGTCTCCCAGTAGCCCGAGCTGGCCTGGAACTATGTAGACCAGGCTGGCCTCGAACTCATGGAGATCCACCTGCCTCTGCCTCCCAAGTGCTGGGATTAAGGTGTACGCCACCATGCCCAGCAAATAATTCTTTTGACTTTTACTACAGCATGGATGAACCTTAAGGGTATTATGTTCATTAAACTAAGCCAATCCAAAAAAGACTAATTTCACTCATAAATGTCTGCATAGTCAAACTGACAGTGGCAGAAAATAAAAGACTGCTGTGAGTGGGTGCTCTTACCCAGCTGCAAATGCTGTGAGCTACAATAATGGCCAGCATGGCACAATATGTCCATGGGTGCAATATTGGCAAAAATGTTATGGGGGTAACCAATTCCTTTCTGATTTAATTTAAGGCCCACTCCACAGAATGAAATCCATACTTGGTATTGTGAATTTTCCAAAAACCCACAGTTGGGGAGCTCATATGCTTCAGAAATGGTTAATGTAGTAAATTTTATCCTACATTTTTATCACAATTAAAAATTTTAAATAGCACAGACATCTCTTCAGAAATTTTTAAAGTATTTTATTTATTTTTATTTTATGTGCATGAGTGTATTGCCTGCATGTATATGAGTGCACCCATGTCGTGCAATGCTGTGGAGGTCAGAAGAGGGCGTCAGATTCCCCTGGAACTGGAGTTAAGGATGGTTCATAGCTGCCATGTGGGTGCTGGGAATTGAACCTGGGTCCACTGCAAGAGCAGTCAGTGCTTTTAACCGCTCAGCCATCTCTCCAGCCCCCAGAAACAGTTTTTTAATCCTCACAATACACAGGGAGAAAAAACTGTGCATATAGTTTTGTGAGCAGGCACCAACTAAACATTCTATTTGCCAATTTTCCTATTGCAACCGCCACTACCGCCAAGACTTCTTTATTGCAGTAAAGCTAAGTTACTATGGCAAAACCACATTTTCTGTAAATCAAAGCAATTAGTTCATCAAAGAAGTTGAAATACTGGCAGAAAAAAAATGGATCTAGGAGAAACCCCACAGATGAAAATCAACAGTACTGCTAGGCGTGGTATGCACACCTTTAATGCCAGCACTTAGGAGGCAATCTCTGTAAGTTGAAGGCCAGCCTGGTCTACAGAGCAAATTCCAGGCCAGCTGGGTCTACAGGGAGACCCTGTCTCAAAAGACGAAAGAAAGAAAGAAAGAAAGAAAGAAAGAAAGAAAGAAAGAAAGAAAGAAAGGAAGAAAGAAAGAAAATCAACAGTACTATTATAATTTATAATAATTCAGAGTCATCATTTAAATTATCTAAGCTGGGCATGGTGGTGCACACCTTTAATTAAACCCAGCACAGAGAGAGAGGCAGAGGCTGGTGGGTCTCTGTGAAGTCAAAGCTAGCCTGGTCTACATAGTGAGTTCCAGGCTAGCTAGGGCTATAGGGAGTCTCAAAACAAAAACAAACGAAAAATTAAAATAAATTATCTAAAACATTTGGGGCATCATATCTCATTCAGCCTCAGAAAAACTAGGATGGATGAAGAAAGGGGTTCAGGAAGCTATAAAACTTCCTGGTGTACTGCAGTACGTTGGAGTATCAAGGTAGAGCCACACCTCACTACCCTCTCAAAGCCAGTTTCTTCCCACACAGCAAGGACAAGAGTAAGATGGGTCCATCCCTTTCTATTAAGGAATTTGCTTGTTCCTTTATTCAACAGTATTCAACACACTGGAGACAGTCTACATAGTGAGTTCCAGAACAACTGGAAACAGAGACCCTGTCTCAAAAATTTTTTTAAATTTTTAAAATTATTTTTATTCTATGTGAATGAATGTATTGTCTGCATGTATGTAAGTGTGCCCCAATGTCACGCAATTTCAGAAGAAGCCACTGGAACCCCTGGAACTGGAATTATGGACAGTTGTTAGCCACCATGTGGGTGCTGGGAATCGAACCCAGGTCTTTTGCAAGAGCTGCCAGTGTTCAAGTTCTCAATTTTGTAAAATTACACAGTAGGTTGATTCAATGAACACCATTTAACAATGAACTCTAAATAGAGATTCAGTACTTAACAAAAACTTTAATTCTCACAGGAAAAAAAAGTTTCCAATGCTTGTGAGAAGAGGGGTAAGGAAAACTAAAGCATGGCAACCACAGAGCAGCATTGCTGGCCAGACACTAAATGAAACAATAACACAGAGACTTCTAGGGCTTCAAATTAAGAAGTCAGGGGTTTTTATTATTTTTATTTTATGTGTATGAGTATTATGCCTGCATTAGTGTAAATGCACCCATGTCATGCAGTGCCCTCAGAGGAAAGAAGAGGGTGTCAGACCCCCTGAAACTGGAGTTACAGACAGTTGTTAGCCTCCATGTGGGTGCTGGGAACTGAACATGGTCCTCTACAAGAGCAGTCAGTGCTCCCCTAACCACTGAATCATCTCTCCAGCCCCAATCAGGATTATTTTTAAGAACAGGTAGTACCAGTACAAATTTACTAGATGACTCAAGTGTTTAATAATTAAACATTTTGGACACAGGAACTAACAGGAAAGTGCACTCCAGGGAAGGAAAGACAGTCGATTTTGTAAAAGTATGCCTATTCTTCCATGCTGAAAGACACATTTACTTTGCTATTTTTATAAAACTCAGGGTTTTAATTATTACGGAGTTGTAAGAGTTCCCTATATAATCTGAATATTAGCATTTGTAAATGGATAATAGAAAGCTTTATGCTTTTAGCTATTACATTTGATCTGTTATCTATTTGCTTAACTTTTTGCTTATGGTATGAGGTAAGAGTTCCACTTCATTCTTTGTGTGTGGACATCCAGCTACTCTGGCACCATTCCCTCTGAGATGCCTTGGCACCCTTACAGTAAGTCAACTGAATGCAGTGCACTCATTTACTTCTGGTTCTCAGTCTGAGCCACTGCGTGCCTATCTCTACCCAAGTGCCACACCACACTGTCTTGATTATTATAGCTTTGTAGTTGAGACGTGTGAGTCCTCCAACTGCATTCTTTTTTTCAAGAAATTCACAATTATTCTGGATTCATTAAATAGACGTATATATTCTACAATCAGCTTGCTGGTTTCTGCAAAAGGGGCAGATACAATTTTAACAGAAAACATATTGAAAACATAACAAATTGCTGAGTATGGCCGTGTTAACAATATTAAGTCTTTTGACCCATGAACATGGGATAGCTTTTCATTTATTTAGGTATTTAATTTTTTTTCAATGTTTTCATAGTTCAATATACAAATGCTGCATTTATTCTTTTAGATTTATTCCTAAGCATTTTTTTTTATCTCTTTGAGACAGGGTCTCCCTGTAGCCCCAGCTGTCCTGGAACTCACTATGTAGACCAGGCTGGCCTTGAACTCACAGAGATCCCCCTGCCTTTGCCTCCTGAGTGCCGGGATTAAAGGCGTGCACCACCACACCAGGGAGGACGTGGGGTCTCTAGAGGAGTTTAGCTCATGAGTGCAGGGCCCTCTGGAGTGGACTAATGCCTATCTGGGTTTGCCTCTTCCTACAGCTTCTTTCTGTCCTTTATCACTCTTAGAGTTTATATATCTTTATGGGTATACATTATGGTAATTCAATACATACATAACAATATGTATTTATCAAATCAGAGTAATAAGGATTTAAATCCTTTTAATCATTAGTGATATATCTTGGGAATTCTGTACTCTTTCAGTCACTCTGAAATATATCATAGGGTATTCTGACCAAGAATCACCCTACTGTGCTATAGAAGAACCAAAAATGATTTTTCCACTCTGTATTTTTGGTGCCCCTACTCAAATCTTTCTCCACTTCCCCTATCTTCTACAAGGGTAGTTTACTGGTTTTCACAGATGTGTCTCTGTCCTTCTGCCATGTGATACTACAGTCTTTACATGTTTGATTCCTGGCTTCAACATCTACTAGCTATGTAAATTTGAATAAGGTATGTAACTAGGATTTTCATTCTTATATGAAAATGGATATAAAAATAGGAAGTGGGCTGGGTGTGGTGGTGCACACCTTTAATCCCAGCACTCGGGAGGTAGAGGCAGGCAGATCTCTGTGAGTTCGAGGCCAGCCTGGTCTCTATGGTGAATCCAGGACAGCTGAGGCTACAGGGAGACCCTGTTTCAAAAAGACCAAAAAAAAAAAAATAGTAAGTGTATCATTGGGTTTTTGTGAAGATGAAGTAGTTTATTACATAAACAAGACTTAGAGTAGCTACTATATTAACTTATTATTATTATTATTGTTGTTGTTGTTGTTGTTGTTCCATTCTATCTCTATACTAGAGGACCCTGCCCAAAATTTAGGACTTCTCTATGTGTGTGTGTGTGTGTGTGTGTGTATGCACAAATGTGTGTACAGGTATGTGCACACATGCATGTACATACAACAGTCAGAGGTCAACACTGAGTATCTTCCCCTACCACTCTCCACCTTTTTATTTATTTATTTATTTGAGTGTTTTTCCTGCATGGATATAAGTGCACCATGGGCATACAATGCCTGTGGAGGCCAGAAGAGAGTATTAGATCCCCTGGAACTGGAGTTGTATATGGGTGTTAGCTGCCATGCAGGTGCTGGGAACCAACCCGGGGTTCTCTGGAAGAGCAGTAAGTGCTCTTAACTGCCAAGTCATCGTTCTAGCCCCTTCACCTTATTTTTTGAGACAGTGACTCTCACTGAACCTGGAGCCCACTGTCTGGCTAGTGAGCCCCCAGGAGGCTCATGTCTCCACCTCCCCAGTACCAAGATTACAGGTGTGTAATGACTATTTACATGGGTGTGGAGATCCAAATTTCCATCCTCATGCTTATACAGTAAGCTTCTACCCACTGAGCCATGTTTCCAGCCTCCAGAGTTGAGGACTTCCAGTGGTCTACCAAACAGAAGTCACAGTAAAGGAAGCAGGTTGCTTACAGCTTTAATTTCAGTTATAACAAGTACTGATAAAGTGCTTTTACTAAACAGCATTAGCTCCTCACCTGAACTTCCAGAGGTAGCTAACAGCAGGATAAAGACAAGCATCTTTAACTGGGCGTGGTGCTGCACGCCTTTTATCCCAGCACTTGGAAGGCAGAGGCAGGCGGATCTCTGTGAGTTCAAGGCCAGCCTGGTCTACATAGCAAGTTCCAGGTCAGCTTCAGCTAAAGACAAAAAAAAAAAGACTAGCATCTTTGCCTCTAGTTTATGTCACTCTTTTACTCTGGGCCAGATTCCTAATTCTACATGTAGACATGTTAATCATTCAACAAGTATCTGTCTAAAAATTAGTGATACCTAATCTGTCTCACGCCTCTTCAAGACTGAAGATAGACTATTTTACCAACAACTTTTGCAATATCCTTTTCCCTAAAAAGGAGCCTGAAAGTCTCCATTGTCTAAGCTTGGATTCCAGGAGTGGAGAGCCTCTCAGACACAAGCCCACAATGAAAGCACACCCCCACCCGTAAACAGGAGCAGCTATCTCGTGGGAACCGGGATGTCCGCTCAAGTGGTAAGATCTTATCTAAGGCCATCTTTTAGAACCAGAACTGAAATACTGATCAACCAGCCAGGCCACTGTGTGACCAAGACTGCTTAATTATACATACCTCCTGCACCCTGCCCCAGTTCTCCTTCTATTCAGACCTAAAGCCACAATACCCATAAGATGGGCTGAAATGCTTAATGTACTTTGTCCCTGAATGGCTACTTTCATTAATACCCTTCTTGCCTTTTCACCACTACTTTGCTTTCTCTGAAGGTGGGAGTAGCTGGATCTGATATGTCAGGACACTGCCCCACCCCCCAGATACTCTCCAGTCCAGTCACAGTAATCCAGGGGCACATTAAACAGCAAGATCCTAGTAAGTCAAAGAGAATAAAACCAAGAGCTTTGAAAGCTTTTAGGAAAAAAATTGTTATTTTTAGTTTAAAACAAGAAAATAAAATTCTCCCATTTTACATTCTGCTTGAAGAAACAACTTTTAAATACTTTGAATCAGGGGCTGGAGAGATGGCTCAGCGGTTAAGAGCACTGACTGCTCTTGCAGAAAACCCAGGTTCGGTTCCCAGCACCCACATGGCAGCTACGAACTGTCCTTAACTCCAGTTCCAGGGGAATCTGAGGCCCTCTTCTGACCTCTGCAGCATTGCATGACACGGGTGCACTCATACACATGCAGGCAATACACTCATACACATAAAATAAAAATAAGATATTTTAAAAAAAGGTTAAAAAATACTTTGAATCAATTTTCTAAGAGATTTATTATTTCTCCTTAATGGACATAAAAATGCAGAAGAGAACATTTCTAAGAAATTAAAATACCTTAAAAAGTAAAAACAGCTATTCAATTTAAATTACTTATATTTATTCTAAAGAATAAACCATACCCCTTTACTATCAAAGAATCTATATAAGATCGATAGTCCATAATCTCTCTGCTCCTCATCAGTGGTAACATCATACTCTGCCTGATTGGAGAGATGAGAGAAAAAATGGTTACACTATTAATGGTTACACCAGTGTTTCACAATACTTTATGTGTTCTGAGCCATGGAGTTCGCCTGGTACCCTCAAAACCAGAGAGGAATTCTGTGGATCAAGTATAGACAGCTCTTTGGGAATGTAAGGACAGTACTGGGGTAAAATGTGAGAGAGTGAGTGAGAGAGAGAAAATGTGTGTGTGATGGTAGATCATTATTGCCAACTTGACTGGATTTAGAATCAACACAGAAACACATCCCTGGGTGTTTCTATGAAGTTGTTTCCAGAGAGAATTAAATGAGAAGAGAAGACCCACCCTAAATATGGATGCTGCTGTCCACAGATGCTACCATCCAATGAACTAGGGTCCTAGGCTGCATAAAAAGTAGGAAATGAGACTGAATAGATGGCTCAGTGGTTAAGACCACTGACTGCTCTTACAGATGACCCAGGTCCCAGTACCAATATGGCAGCTCACAACTACCTGTACCTGTAGTCCAGGAGATCTGATACCCTTTTCTGGACCCAGCAGGCACCAGGCATACACATGGTGCACATGCGCACATGCAGTCACTCGCAATTTGTGAAAAGGAGAAAGCGAGATAAGGAGCAGTCACAGTGTTTGCCTCTCTACCTTTTTACATGGAAAGGTGCTCAATAGGAGCCAGTTGCGTTGTGCTGTAGTCTCAGCTCTCAAGAGGTTGAGGCAGGAGGACTGCTACAAGTTTAAGGCCAGACCAGGAGACATCACTGAAAGGCCCTGACCTACAAAGTGGGCCTGTTTGGGCTATATTATGAGACCCTGTGCTGGATAGCTTGACACACCTCGGTTGAGGGAGCTTCAATTGGGGAATTTCCTCTATTGGACTGGCCTGTGGCCATGTCTGAGGGGAATCTTCTTGATGAGTGATGTGGGAGGGCCCAGCCCACTGTGGGTGGTGCCACCCCTGGGCAGGTGGGCCTGTGTTGGATAAGAAAGCCGGCTGAGCAGGGGCCAGGGGAGCAAGCCAGTAAGCAGTGTTCCTCCATGGCCTGTGCTCCAGCTCCTGCCTCCAGGTTCCTGCCCTGAGTTCCTACCTTGGGCTCCCAGATGAACTGTGACCTGGGATATGTAAGCTAAATAAACCCTTTCCTCCCCAAGTTGGTATTGGTCAGAGTATTTTGTCATAGAAATGAAGAACAAACTAGGACAGACCCTATCTCTAAAACAAAGGGAGGGAGGAAGGAAGGCAAAGGAGGGAAGTAAGACACTAAGACATTTCTCCACCCTCCATCATTGTTTGGGGCTGATTAAATACTCAAAAGCACAAAACTGCACAGTTCAACTCTGAAAAGAATCACTCACCACTGCATCCAAGAATTCAATGCACCTCTTTAGATCTGGTTTTGTATTACAGAATTGTCTGAAAAGAAGTCTTCCTATTGGCTGCTTGTCACACAGGCTGTTATAATCCTTTTCTGCTAGAGAAAAGGAATGAGAAACAATGCAGTTACCACCCACCAAGTGCTGCTCCATACCTGCCCTCTGTTGTCCTTAATACAATCAAAGTCAAAAACAGTGTTTGTAGCCAGGTGTGGTGATGCTCACCTTTAACCCCAGCACTCCAGAGGCAGAGGAAGGTAGAGCTCTGTGAATTGGAGGCCAGCCTGGTCTACATAACAAGTTCTAGGCCAGCCAGGACCACATAGTGAGACTCTGTCTCAAAATAAGCAAAACCCAAACCAAAGCAAAACACAAAAAAATAGTATTTGTGCTATTATTTTTAAACTACTGTTTACTAATTTAAACTGGGTTATTTTATATGGACAATACCCAGGCAGGGGGCAAGGAGATGACTCAGTCAATAAAGTGCTCATACGCAAGCATGACCTGAGTCCATATCCCCAGCACCCACATGAAGGGCTGGGCATGGTGTGATGCTCCTGTAATCCGAGGGCGGGGGAGGTGAAGATACACCAGTCTAGCCAAACTGACAAGCTCCAGGTTCAGTCTCAAAAAATAAGGAGAATGACTGAGGAAGATGCCCAGTGTTGACGTCTGGCCTCCATATGCACACAGACAAACATGGACAGATACACACACATAAAAGTAAGTAGAAATAAAGTGGAGCTAAGTGTGGTGGCACACACCTGTAATTCCGGCACTCTGGAGGCTGAGAGAGGACAACTGTGAGTTTTAGGCCAACCTGGTCTACCTGATGAGACCCCTGTCTCAAAAACTAAAACCAACCAATCAATAAACACTCAGGTAGTCAAAGACAGCTGGAAAAACTGGTAAGGACTTGACGTGACAGCCATTTCTTTTCCAAAATGAATTATGCAAGGGGTGGATATGCCCAAGGGACAGTCACTTCTTGGGAAGGCAGAAACATAAAGAGATCCTTCTACTACTGCACCCAGCATATGTGGTCAGGATAAACCACGTATTTGTGAAACATACTGCAGAAATGCACTAAATCAAAATTTTAAAACCTCCTACCCATCTTGCTACTTTCTGTACTTGCAAACAAAATTTCAAATATTTTTTACACTTGTTAACATCCCTGTTTTATAATTATTTGCTTGTTTTTCCTTTTCAGTAGGAGGTACTGTACCCTTACCTCAAACAGTGACACTGTTCCAAGAATAAGGCCCTACTGTTCCAGCAATGTCAAAAAGGATGGAAAACAAAACCTTTTATGTTCAAAATAGGTAAAACTTCAGTAAAAAAATCAGTTGTGGGGGCAAAGCAGGGGAGGGCAGTGGGGAGGGCAAATAAGAACAAAGTATAACTCTGGGAGCAGGAGAGAAGGCGCAGTAGTTAAGAGCACTGGCTGCTGTTGCAGAGGATCTGGGCTCAGTCCCCAGCACCCACATGGCAGCTAACAACCATCCATGACTCCAGTTCTGGGGGTCTGACACCCTCTCCTGGCTCTGCAGCACCAGGTATCATATTGTGCTTATGCATACATGCAGGAAAACAAAATAAATCTTTTTAAAAAGAATAATAAAGTATCCAGGTGTGGTAGCGCACGCCTTTATTCCCAGCACTCTGGAGAGAGGCAGAGGCAGGTGGATCTCTGTGAGTTCAAGATCAGCCTGGTCTATATAGTGAGTTCCAGGTCAGTTGGGGCTACAGAGAGACCCTGTCTCGAAGGTAAATAATAAAAAAGGAAAGGAAAGGAGAGAGGAACAGAGAGAGGAAAGGAAGAAGGGGCGGAAGGAGGAAGGGCAGTCAGTCTCTCTACCTAAAATGGATAAATATATTCAGGCTCCCCCAAAGTGACTTTAAAGCCAAAGAATCAAAATTTAAAAGTGGCTAAGTCAGCAAATTCCTCTTTTAAAGGGCTTGTTAATATCAGGCAATTCTGGTAGTCTAAGCCATTCTTGTTTGAGATCACTGGGTTTGCACAAGGAAAGGTCCAGGAAAGGGAGGGGTGGAGCTCAGGAGGTAGAGTTCTTACCTAGCATGCACATCACCCTGAGTTTCATTCACTATTGGCCAGAAGATAAATGGGTCCAACTTTTAGGAAGACTAACCTGTCAACGTAACAACTTTAAATTCATCTACTCCTTCAATCAGAAATTCTCCCCTCCCGCCCAGTTCTGTATGTGGGTGTGTGCATGTGTTTGCGTGGGTGGGTGTGTGAACATGTGCATGCAGGTGTGTGTGTATGTGTGAGCACGTGCATGTGCACAGTGGTCAGAGGTAGATATCAGGTCTCTCCCTCATTTCATTTTCATCTATCTGTCTATCATCTATCTACCTATCAATTTATTCATCACCCACCTATCACCTATCAGTCAGTCTATCTGTCATGTATGTATGTACGTATGTATGTATGTATGTATGTATGTATGTATGTATCTATCTATCTATCTATCTATCTATCTACCTACCTACCTACCTACCTATCTAGTTGAGAGAGGATCTCACTATAGCAATGACTGGACTGGAACTTACCATGTAGCCCAAGCTGGCCTAGAACTCACAAAGATCTGTCTGCCTGACCTTCGGGTGCTAGGATTAAAGGCATGCACCAGCACGCCCAGCAAGAGACAGAGTCTCTCACTAAATTTAGAGCTTGGTGATTCAGCTAGATTAGGTGATCACTGAGCTCTGCCTGTGCCCATCCCCTGTACACCCAGCACTAGGGTTACAGATGTGCACAGCTGTGCCTGCTCTTACGTGGGTACTGGTGATCCAAAATCAGGTCCCCTATGCTTGTGTGGCAAGCACTTTATTGTCTGAGTCATCTCTTCAGCCCCTGAATTGAAAATTCTATCTTCAAATTTTTAATTCTGACTGTCCTACAGACATGGTCTATTATCTGACTTCCCATGCTCTTACAGCTAACACTCAGTCTTTACAGTTCTTGAATATTCCATTACACTGATATACAGTGAATTTTTGTTTGCTTATTTTTTTACAAAATTGGGAATCAAACACAGGACTTTATGCATACCAGGCAAGTGTTCTACTAACGAGTTACATTCTCTTTTCCCTTATATATTTTATTTCAATAAATTAAAAAAAATTTTTTTTTGGTCTTTTTTGAGACAGGGTCTCCCTGGAGCCCCAGCTGTCCTGGAACTCACTATGTAGACCAGGCTGGCCTCAAACTCAGAGATCTGCCTGCCTCTGCCTCCCGAGTGCTGGGATTAAAGGTGTGCGCCACCACGCCAGGCTCACTTTGAATGAATGCTTTTTTAAAAAACAATTTTTAAAAAAATATTTTATTGTGCTCGGTGTGGTGGCATACGCCTTTAATTCCCATAGTGAGTTCCAGGCCAGCTGGGGTTACAGGGAGACCCTGTCTTAAAAGGACCAAAAAATAAAATTTTATTATTTTTTTATGTGTATATGTGCATTGCCTGCATGTGTATAAGTGCACCTGTGTCATGCAATGCCCACAGAGGTCAGAAGAGGGTGTTGGATCCCCTGGAACTGGAGTTATAGATGGTTATCTGTCATGTGGGTGCTGGGAACTGAACCTGGGGCCTCTGCAAGAGCAGCTGGCACTTTTAACTGTTGAACCATCTCTCCAGTCCAAACTAATGTCATTTTGTTGTTGTTGTTTTTGTCTTTTTTGAGACAGGGTCTCCTTGTAGGCCCAGCTGTCCTGGAACTCACTATGTAGACCAGGCTGGCCTCGAACTCACAAAGATCCACCTGCCTCTGCCTCCCAAGCGCTGGGATTAAAGGCGTGAGCCACCACGCCTGGCCCAAACTAATGTTTTAATAAAAACACCAATAATTCATTATTAGACACAGAAAATTGAAAAGATATTAGGACATGCTTAAAAGTGCTTTCTTCTGGAAAGAATGACTGGTTGGGTCTTTGGGAAAGAGACCCATTATTCTGTTACATGCAGAATAATGAATGTATACCAGCTTTGGGTTTCTTTTTTTTGAGACAGGGCCTCCCTGTAGCCCCAGCTGGTCTAGATTCACTACGGACACCAGGCTGGCCTCGAATTCCCAAGAGATCCGCCTGCCTCTGCCTCCCAAGTTCTGGGATTAAAGGCGTGAGCCACCCCACCCAACTCAATATATACCAGTTTTTAAGAACATTTTAAATGAAAAAGTCAATAATTATATTCTTCATCATTGCAGACCAGAGAATTTAAAAGTATTTCCCACTCTGAAAAGGCTAATGAAATTATTAGAATTTACCATAGAAATTTGAAGAACGAAACGCATCTAAGTAATGATGCCACATCAGACACACCCTGCAGACTTAAGTGATGGCTTTACTCACCGATGGAGTATCTTAGCTCAGTGCACAGGCTGACTGGGGGCAACTTCAGGATCTCCTTCCATCTTTTACTACGACAATTCTTTTCGCCTAGTCCTGCTAAATTTTAAAAACAAAAAACTTTACATAAAAATTCTTGTTTATCAAGTCAGGTCTTACCATGTAATCCAGATTGTCCTTGGATTCTAGATCCTTCTCTCTTAACCTCCTGAGTATAGGATTACAGGCAGGTAACACTGAGCCCAAAAAAAAAGGCTGTTTTTTTGTTCCAGTTTATTGTAATATTAGTAAGTTGTGTGTGTATTTCTCAGCAGGCTTGTTAAATACATTTCCCATGTATTTCATACCACTAAGCATTACTTATTTCTCTTTCCTCTTTGTCCCTGTATAGCCCGCCCTCCTCAGTTAAAGTTTCCCCTTGATAACTCCTGTTTCCTACTATCCCTCTCCCTCAAGCTCCTTCTTCCCCTTTCCCCCACTCTGGTAACTTTGGCTCCTGAAGTTACATCAGGATATATACTCACATTTAAGGATGTAGAACTAGGATTGACATGAGAGCAAACATGCATGGCTTGTTTTTCTGTCTGGGTTACCTCCCTTAGTATAAGTTTCTAGTTCCATCCATTTACCTGCAAATTTCATGATTTTGTTTTTCTTTACCACTGAGTGGAGCTCCACAGTGTAAATTACATTTACATTATCCATTCATCGGGTTAGGGAACATTTAGGTTGTTTCCATTCCCTTGGTATTTTGAAAAGAGCAGTGACCAATATGGTTGAGCAATTATCTGTGTAGTAGGATGCCGAGTGTTTTGGGTATGTGCCAAAGAGTGGTAGAGCTGGAGCATATGGTACATCTATTTTTAGTTTTTTCAAGTTCTCCATACTGCAGTCCACACTGGCTGAACCAGTTTGCAATCCCATCAACAATGAATGAGCGCTTCCCTTTCCCCCACCCTCACCAGCTTTGGTCATTTGTTTTCTTGATCTTAGCCATTCTGACAGGGAGAAGAGGAAATCTTAAAGTAGTTTGAATTTGCATTTCCCTAATCGCTTAGTTTGTTGAACACTTTGTAAGATATTTCTTGGCCATTTTTCCTTCTTCCTTTGAGAATTCTCTGTTTGGATCTGTAGCCCATTTTTCAGCACCTTTTTTTATCGTCTTATGTGGATCAAGGTCTCAGCTGTTTCACTCCACAGTAACTTGGCTCCTCTGCTTCTGGGCCCAAGGTGAGGCAGAACACTGGCAGAAGGGAGTCACAGAATAAAGCTGCTCATCCCATGGTGGACAGAAGGCAAGAGAAGAGTGGGAGACCAAGACCAAGACCTACTCTTCAAAGGCTGACCAAGAAATCAGGGTACTATGGTGCAAGAGTGTGATCACAGTGCTCCAGAGGGTGATCACAGTGCTCCAGTGTGATCACAGTGCTCAAGAGGTAGCACCAAGAGGATTGCTATTGAGTTGGAGGCTGACCTGGTCTACCCAGCAAATAAACTAGACCAGCTAGGGTTACAGTGTAAAACTGTGTCAAGAAAAAACAAAACACAACCCCCTCCACAACCAGAAATGGGTTGGTAAGATGACTCAGTGTGTAAAACGCACTAGCCACCAAGCCTGAGGACCCACGTTTGAGCCCCAAGACCAAAATGGCTGAAGAGAACCAGCTCCTGTAAGTTGTCCTGTGACCTCTGCACACAAGCACATGGACACACACAAATATAAAAAAAAAAACAAACGCTTGACTCCCAAATTAAAAAAGCATACCCACAGCGACCTATTTTTTCCAACCAGGCCCCACTGCCTAATAGCCCATTAAGTACTAGGAATCCATTGATGAAGTTAATGGCTTCCAGAACTAATCATATCTAAATAGATCAGCAACTAGGAACCACAGCTTCAACATATGAACTTCATGAGGGGAGACATTACATAGCCCCAAATCCTAAATTTAAAAAAATCATACTTTATGGCTGGTGAGATGGCTCAGCAGGTAAAGGCATGTGCTGTCAAGCCTGATGAGTTGGATGCCCAGACCCCACATGGTAGAGAGAATTCGCCAGTTGTCCTCTGACCTCCATATGTGCACCATGGCACAGAAGTGCCCATACATATATACACATGCACACAACATAAATAGAATGTAATAAAGATTTTAAAAATAATAGTTTTGGCAAGGCATGGTGGCACCCTTTAATCCCAGCACTTGGGAGGCAGAGGCAGGAGCATCTCTGTGAGTTTGAGGACAGTTTGTGTTATACAGGGAGGTTATACACCCTTTTCTGACCTCTATGGGCATTGCGTGACACGGGTACACTTACATACATGCAGGCAACTGACTCATACACATAAAATAAAAATATTTTTAGGCCAGGTGTGGTGGCACACGCCTTTAATCCCAGCACTCAGGAGGCAGAGGCAGGTGGATCTTTGTAAGTTTAAGGCCAGCCTGGTCTACATAGTGAGTTCCAGGACAGCTGGGGCTACAAGGAGACTGTCTCAAAAAGCCAAAAAAAATTTTTTTAAGAAAACACCATACCTGTATTAGTTACTCTTCTGTTGTGATAGAAACACCATGACCAAGGAAACATAAAAGGAAGAGTTTATTTAGCTTATGGTTCCAAAGGGACAAGAATCCATCATGGTGGGAAGTGACGGTAGAGGTGACTGGAGTAGGAGCAGAAGCTAAGTCTCACATCTTCAAGCAGCACAGGAAGCTGAGCGTGACTGAAGATCCTGAAAGGCTTAAGAACTCTCTAAGTCCACCCCCAATGACATGCTTCCTCCAGCATGGCCCCATCTTCTAAGACCTCCCAGAACAGCACCAGCAACTAGGGACAAAATGTCCACATACTTGAAGTCTATGGGGGAAATTTTCATTCAAACTACCATGATGCCCTAGCTTTTTATGTGGGTACTGGGATGGAACTCAGCTTCTCGAGTTTTGCCACCTCACTATTATCTAATCTCTGCAACATTATAATAAAGTCTGCTTGGTGTAATATTTCTCTTTTTTGGACACTGCCCAGATATGAGGGTAGAGGATGATGAGAAACCTAAATTAGTGAGGTCTTATTTCCAATAAGGATTCCTTCCCACGACCAATTTTGAGTTCCAGCGCAGGACAAGATGCTCTCCTGAAAGAGAAGGAGGAAACCCAGACCTGGTCTCTTCCCAGTCATGCTCAGTTCTTTGTCAAAATGATGTCAGTGCACAAAAGTGTCTTAAGGGAGAGGCCTTTTACAAAGTGTTGTTTGGCTTGCACACTTCCCATCCTCCTTCCTGGTTGGTTTGTCATCTCACTAAGCCTGACTGGCCTCCAACACAGGATCTTCCTGCCTAAGCCTCCTGTTGATGATGCCCTTGAATCCCAGGTGTCTTCAAGCCCTAACTGGTCCAGTTCTGGGTACTCATTGGCACTTCACGAATTTCTTTCCATGTTTCTTCCTCAGAGTTTCCAGTGTGTTGAAGAAATCATGTGTTTTCTAATTTTTTTTTTCTTCCTGAATGGCATTTAGGGTGCAAATGGGATTTCCAAGGAAGCTAAAAACAAACAAAAGCACACAAATATGAAGATCAAAAACATTTCTCTGTTCCAAATTAATTTTACTCAAAGGATGTACTCAGCATTTTGTGAGATGAATTTATGGATGCTTCACAGCACTCTAAGTCACCACTTCCCACCATCTGTACCTAGGAGGTGCATTTTCATTGCACAGTCTCAGATTAGCAACGCTGAGGATGGGTTGGAACTCAGGCCCTTGCAGGCCTCTAGCACAGAGCACATCTCCAGCCTCACCGGATACTGACATAGCACAGGTGGCCCAGGAGGACCAAACATCAGCAGATTCAGGATTGGCTCCAGGGAGGTCAAAGTTCCCCTGAGGGCAAGGCACCCTCCTCTCCCCACCCCAGGACAATGCCATAGTCCACCCCAACGGCAATCCAACAGTCCCCCCAGGACAAGGCAATGGGCAATCAATGCGGCGGTCCCCTGAGGGAATGTGATGCCCCCACCACCCCCAGTCCAATGAGGTGGTCCTCCACCCCCCACCTCACCCCCTGCCCTCGCAATGGGATGGTCCCCCCTCCCAATGTGACTGCCCCCACAGGGCATTGCGATGATCCTCCCCAAAGGCAATTCTATGGTTGGACCTCCTGTGACAATCAATGTGGTGGACCCCCTGAGGGCAATGAGTACCCCCCACCCCGGAATTCGATCGTCCCAAGAGCAATTCACACACCGCCCCCCGCAATGAGACCTTCCCAAGAGCAATGCCCCCCAACGCGCCTCCCCCCAAGGGCAATGCGTCTGTCACCCGAAGGCAATGCATCCCCCAGGGCATCGCGCCCCCCCGCAATACGCGCCCCCAGGGCAATGCGACTCCCAAGGGCAATGCACCGGTCCCCCAGCCTAGGGCCCCAGAAGCACAGGGGGACCCGCCTGGGGAGCCCCACGATGCGGCGCACACACCTCGACGCGCCTTCAGCAGCACCGCATTGGCCATGATGTTCTCTAGGTCCATGGCCCGCCGCCGCCGGCGGCGCGAACGCATCCTCCGCGGCCCGGGAGGCGGAAGCGGGCAGACCCGGGAGGCCTCCGAGCCGGGAGCCACGGCTGCCTCAGGCTCCGCTTCGATCGGCGCCGCCACCACTGCCACCAGGAGCGCCGGCGTCGCAGTCGCCGTGGGCGCGAGGCCCGACCCGGGGGAGGCTTGGGGCGGGCGACCGGCCTGGGCTAGCGGCGGCGGCGCCCGGTCGCTCGCGCTCTTCTTGGCCTCATCGCCCCGGCCCAGCGCGCGTAGCCTTTTCCTCAGCGCCGGGTCCCGGGGCGGACCCGAGCCTCCGCTGCCCCCCACCCCACAGGGGGCTCACTGGCCGGGGAGCTGTCCCCGGGGGTGAGGGCTGTAGGCGCCGCCGCCACTGCCCACGATGCGCAGGGTAACCCGGCCGGGGTAACGGCTGTCCTCCAGAGGGAGCGCTCGGGCTGCCCTCGCGGTGGTGCCTGAGGAGGATGTGGTGCGCGGGACACTACAGATCCCATAAGGCCCCGCGCCAGGAAGCCGGAGTAAGAGGCCTGCTGGGAGTTGTAGTTCTTCCGCCAATCGACGTGTAGGCTGAACGTCTAGTTCCCAGTCTTCGGAATCTACTTCCCGCGGTGTCCTGAGACCTGGCTCAGTTATCGCGAGAGGAGGCTGGGCGGTGTGTCCTCGTTTGGAGCACCCGTTTCCGCCAGATTTCTCTCGCATGGTTGTTCCCTGACTCCGACGGGTCCGGAGGTGTAGTCATGGGGAGGGCCAAGGCGGCCCGGACGCGGAGGCAGACCCCCAGAACGCCGGCGGCGGCGGGCGGAGGCCCCGCGAAGACCAACTCGAACCCTTTCGAGGTGAAAGTCAACCGGCAGAAGTTCCAGGTCCTCGGGAAGAAGACGCGTCACGATGTGGGGCTGCCTGGCGTGTCCCGCGCCCGGGCCATCAGGAAGGTGAGGGGCGCGGCCTGGCGGGGGGAGCCCGTGGCCATCCGCGGGTTGCCGGGGCCCCGTTTTTTTCGCCTGTGAAACGGAGACCATGCCAGTCACATAGTCCTGGTTGATTTTTATCTCCATGCCCCTGCTTTCTGTGGACTGCAGTGATCTTCCCAGAGAAACGCTTGCAGGATTCTGCAAGTTTGTATCCTAAGTGCGTGCGTTCCAGTCCTGGCATCCTGCATGTGTAACTTCCATCCTGTGTTTATGATTCCATTCCAGAATATTCTGTATCTTCCTTTCCAATTCAGTCCAACAATTGGCATTCCATATGCAACTACTGATGCTTGTTGGGCTTTTAAAAAAGCAGAATATATGATAAATTAATAGAGCTGTTGATAGTAGAGGGGATAAGTAAGATTTGACCCCTGCCTGCAACAGCTCCTAATCTGTATTTTGTTACAGAGCATGCAGTTCACATGAGATCTTTGACCTTTTACATGAAATTATCCTTACTGCAAGGAACTGACACTGTCATGTATTCTCAGGCGGTAACAAATGACTGGCTGTCATGGAATCCACGCTTCACTCTACAGGCCAACTATAGTAGTGCAGACTCTAGAAGAGACACATCGTTTTCCATTTAAGCCCTGGTCTTCTCATTTCTGATGTGCAATGAAACACACCCTGCCTCTTGCAGTGGTTGTGAGAATTAAATAAAGTATCACATTCAGTGGATAGTAAGCAGTCTCTAAACACAACTGTCCTTACACTACTGGACTTGTCATCCTCAGGCTCCTTCACAGTAGAACTTAACCTGTTGTCCTTGTTTTGTCAGAATCAAGTAATAACTAAGTCTTGCCTTAACTCCCCAAGGCACTAAAGCACCAGCACTTTTGAAACTCCACAGCCCAAATAGGGCATTTTGCTCAGCCCCTAGTGTGTGGTGGCTAGAAGGTTTACAGATCCGCCCCCAGCAGAAAATCAAATATTTGGAGGAAACAGAAATAGAGCTGAAACACTTTGAAAGTCAACATCAGGAAAAAGGGTGAATGACAGAGCATCAAAGAATTGTTCATAGAACCATATTGAACTCTTGGAGGGGCAGGGAGGAGTCATGACCAACTAGAAAAGACTGAGGCATAGGGTTAAGGGCCCCGTGCTATCTGGAAGGACAGTGGACCTTCCAATTGAGGCCACACTTGATCTGTGAGCACAGGGTCCCTGCAGTGGGCCACTTTTCTGCACAGTATCTTTGAGAGTTGGCTTCTTTCCTCTGATTAGTGGTAGCCCTTTGGGGCAGCTCTTCAGTGTAGCAGTACAAGCAGTACCTAACACCATCACTTTCTAGTTGGATCTCAATTTCCAAGATAAATTATAAAGTAACAGTAATTAATATAGTTACTGATCCCTTAGAGTGGGTCAGGCATTATATTAAGAAACTTGGGTTTAACCCTCATGATCAGACTCATGAGGAAAGTACTGTTGTCTCCATTTCATACCCAAAGAGACTGGCAGAGAGCAGCCCTGTACCTTTCTTCAGTCAGCCATGGTAAGTTGGGATCCAAGCCCAGGCTAAAGTCCTTGGTATTACACACTGAGGCAGTTACTCTGTGCTTATTTCTGTCCAAAATCATCTCCTTTCTTCAGACCACCATGTGATCCTCACAAAGATTGTCTGAAGAAAGTGGCTACCTCCTCTTAGAGTTAAAGCCACTGAAATAGAAAGATAAGACCCTTTCAATGTCCTGGCTAGGAAGTAGTGAGGTTGGTGTGGGATTCTGTGACCACACTTTCAACCTGTCAGGCCTTGTGAGGAAAGAACAGAGGTACAGGATCGTCATACCTCCTGGAGCTCAGTCCCTAGGGTCAGTGATTGTGTCTGGATGAGGTACTACTCCCCCATCCTTAGTAACTTTGCCATATTTCTTTTGCCTTGGCGTGGGCTTAAGAGAAGCATGTTCATTGTACCTAAATGTCCCTGAGAAATGCAAAGAGCATTCAAACCGGCATTAGATTAAGAGTTTGAAATGCCTACCAAGATACCAAGTTGTGGATTTTTGAAGCCACTGAATTGGATCATTGCAAAGGCCTACTGTTGTGTGGTGATTCCACCTTGATACTGAGTACTTTCAGCAGTGGCTGATGTATGAATTCTTTCAAGTGACACTCAAATATAAGAATTTCTGTGAAGAGCCTTCAGTCTTGGCATTGGAGAAGAAGCAGGAGGATCAGGAGTTGGAAGCCAACCTTAGCTACATAGTGAATTCAAGGCCAGTTGTATTAGTTAACTTTTCTGTTGCTATGGTAAAACACCATAAGCAAGGCAATGTATAGAAGGAAGAGTTTGGACTGGAGAGATGGCCCAGCAGTTAAGAACACTGGCTGCTCTTGCAGAGGACCTAGGTTCCATTCCCAGCAGGCACATGGTGGCTGACAACCATCTAACTCCAGGTCCAGGGTATCTGACACCCTTTCTGACCTCTGTAAGCACTGCAGGACATGAGTGCACTTACACAGATGCACCCCTGTCTTACTACCCTGTCTTCACCCTGTTTTAGGGAATTTAGCCTCAAGGTTGAATAATACTGATCTTGTTCATTACTCCACTAGAGAATGCCAAATTATTTGATACCTGATATTCTGATTATCCAGAGAAACAATGTTTTAAAGTATAAAGGGTAAACTATGTTCCAAATTCTCAAACTCATTTATGATATGATTTCACACATGAAAGCACAACTATTCATTCCTGGATGTATGTTCAATGGGAAGTAACCTCCCTCCGTGATGGAATAGAGTTAAACATTTCCTTGCACTTAAGCAAACACTCAACCGTAGGAGAACTCCTATAGCTTGAAAAGTGATTCCGAGTCTTTGGCTTCAGCAGTGGTAAGCAGACTCCAGAGCGGAGAATAATCATCCAATTACCACCAAGAGTGAGTTGATTTTCTCGTCTCAAAAATGTGTTCCTATTAGGGCAGGCCTAGCATTGATGAACTCAGCTTCTATATTAACTTTAATATCTTACTGTGTAGCTATGAACTTCACACTCAGTTCTGATGACCCCTTCAGTAGCTATTACAGAAACGTGCTGAGACTTATTTCTGTGTGTTCTGATTTTCAGCGTACCCAGACTTTACTGAAGGAGTACAAAGAAAGGAATAAGTCCAATGTGTTTACAGATAAGCGCTTTGGGGAATACAATAGCAACATAAGTCCAGAGGAGAAGATGATGAAGAGGTTTGCTTTGGAGCAACAGGTATGGGGGGTAGGGTGGGGATGGAGGAATGCCTGCTATAAATTTTACACAAGGTGAGCCAGGGAGAAGGCTCTTGTTCATTTGTGCCTTTGTGAGCTACTTGCTGGGCTTGGCGGCACACATCTTTAATCCCAGCACCTGGGAGGCAGATCTACCTGGTGAATCCCTGTGAGTTCAAGACCAACCTGGTCTATGCAGTTCAGCGTTCAGGACCAGCCAGGTCTATGTAATGATACCGTTTCAAAAAAACAAAACACAGACAGAAAGACAGACACTGGTTAACAAATAGATAAGTATCTTAACCAGAGCACATGGTAAGTCGGGACATGTTCTGTAGTTGTTAGCTAAGGCGCTACCTGTAGTTTTGTTGGGTGGAGAGTAAGTGAGCACAGGAGCAGTACTGATAGGGAAGACTGATTTAGCCCATTGGTCTATATAAGGAATTCTCTCTATAGCCAGGCATGGTGGCGCACACCTTTAATCCCAGTACTTAGGAGGTAGAGGCAGCAAATCTCTGTGAGTTTGAGGCCAGCCTGGTTTACCCAGTGAGTTCCAGGCCAGCCAGAGTTGTGTAGTGAGACCCTGTCTCAAAAATAAATAAATAAAAATAAAAAATCTTGGAGTTATTTTTTTAGAAAGTGAATGTGAGAATTTTAAGTAACTGATTCCCCTTATCCTTTGTTAAGCGACATCATGAGAAAAAGAACATCTACAATCTAAATGAAGATGAAGAATTAACTCATTATGGCCAGTCTTTGGCCGACATTGAAAAGCATAATGACATTGTGGAAAGTGACAGTGATACTGAAGAACGGGGAATGCTGTCTGGTAAGGGGGCAGCACAGAAGCCCGGGGCCCCACAGAAGCCTGGGGCCTGGAGCCATGTTTGGGCTAGCTCCCGCTTCTTGGAAACCCAGAAAATAATGCTTCAAGAACGTTTCACCTCTTGATAAAGCCCACATTTGGGGCTTTTTAAGTTTCAGAGCTTTGGGTCGGGTATATGACGCTGGGAAAGCCCTTTACAATCCCTTTTCTCGTTAAACATGACAATAGCTCCTACCTAGGAGCTTAGAGAGCTGGAGTGAGAGCTGTGGGTGGGTAAACGCCCTCTGGCTGGTAGAGCACTTCTGCCCTGCTTGCCCCCTGTTTCGTGTCCTCTGACGCTATGGCTACACCAGTGGCATTCATGCACTGGCATCTGTGCAGTTCTTCTAGTCTTTGTTATGGGACTGATTATGGCAGTTTTGTACAGAAACTGATAGTCAGCCTGTGTCTGTGGATGATAGACCATGGCACTAAGCAGAGCCAATATGGACCTTGGTGTTGATGCACAGCCAAATCCAGTGAACTAAATTTACAAGGAAATGCAGGTGTCATTTATTCATTGATAGTTTATGTGTCACACACCATTTTTAGTTCTGGGGACATACTTTTTTGTGTGTGTTTTTGAGACAGGGTCTCCCTGTAGCCCCAGCTGGCCTGCAACTCACTGTGTAGACCAGAGAGACTATTTTTTAAAGAACCTTTCCCATTCTACATTTGATGATTTCTACAATGTTTTTATCTTTTGTCGTGGTGAATAGGGCACACTGGAGATGACAGTTCTTGTTGCTGGTTCCTACTCCTGCCATTGGCTCAGGGCTTTTCCACTCCAACCCCTGCATAGGCAGTGGGCAGGGGACACATGCCATGCGTGGATCCTGGACTCTTCTTCAAGACTGTAGTTCCACTCTACTTTCTCTTTCCCTGAGAACAAACAAAATCAGCTGCATATTGTTTCCTTGGATGGTGGCTTGTTGGTTGCAGGGATCTGAGTGTCCTTGGAGCAGCCCATCTCGGGTTTCCTTAGGCATCAGTGTGCCTTGTGCCAGCTGTGAGAATTCCTTCTTGGGTATAGAATTCTCAAGCGTGCTCTTGGGAAGGGCCGATGAGATGGCTTAGCGAGTAAAGGTACCTCTCACCCAACATTCAAGCCCATGGACCTGCATTGGATTCTCCAGAACCCATGTAAAGGTGGAAGGAGAGACCTGGACCCACTAAGTTGTCCTTATGTTCTCTGTGGCACAGACACACAGAGAAAGTAAAGAAATAATTTTTTAAAGAGTGCGTGGTGGTGCACGCCTTTAATCCCAGCACTTGGGAGGTAGAGGCAGGCAGATCTCTGTAAGTTCGAGACCAGCCTGGTCTACATAGTAAGTTCCAGGCCAGCTGATGATTTTTTTTTTTTAAAAAAAAAAAAAAAAAAAAAAAAAAAAAAAAAAAAGTGCTAGGCTGGGAGATGGCTCAGTGGTTAAGAGCACCAACTGCTCTTAGAGAGGACCCAGGTTCAATTTCCAGTACCCACATGGCGGCTAACTCCAGTTCCAGGGGAATTTGGTGCCTTCTTCTGACCTCTGCAGGCATTGCACAACATGGATGCACCTACACATATGCAGGCATAATACTCATACACATAATATAAAAATAAGTGCTGGGCCTGAGTAGAATGGCACAAACCTTTAATCCCAGCACTCAGGAGGCAGAGGCAGACCAGTATCTGTGAGATCCAATGCAATCTGGTCTGCTTAGCAAGTTCCAGGCCAGCTGGGGCTACAGGGAGACCCTGTCTCAAAAAGACCCCAAAAAAAAAGAAAGAAAAAAGACCAAAAAAAGGACTCTTGAAGAGATGTTGGCAGAGTTCTATGGAAAATGGTCGCAAAGCCAGAACCTGGCCTCCCTCATGGTCTTCTGCTGTTGGTCCCCAGCTGAGCTGACTGCCGCTCACTTTGGAGGTGGGGTCCACAAGAGTGCCTCTCACCAGGAAGGCATGGCTGCAGACAAGCCAAAGTCACGGAAAGAACTGATTGACGAGCTCATCGCAAAGTCAAAGCAAGAGAAGGTGAGTTGGCTGATGTTCTCTTTGTGGTGAGCTGCAGTGATGCGCTCACCAGAACATGCTGGGGCTCTCTTCCCTGTACGTTTTAGGCTATATTTAATATTTTTTCTGAATTTAATATAGAATTTGTTTCGAGAAGGAATAATCTAAACCTCGTTAAACATTTACTCCTGATGGTTTTTATTGGCTTCAGTATTTGCAAAATGTCAGCTGCTTGTTAAACTTGCCGTGAACTGCTCAGTGCTTCAGAATCTAGTTAGTAGCAGGAAGTTACTTCAGTCCATTCTGTGGCATTTACGTTCTTGGTTCTCATTTCAAGGTGACACACTTCGTATTGACTGAGTGGTCACTTCACATTCTTGCCCTGCTCACCAGGCCACGCAGTGAAAACCCAGCTGTAGTGGTGTGTGGCATGTGTTCATTACTTTTTTCCTCAGAGGGAGAGACAAGCTCAACGAGAAGATGCCCTTGAGCTCACAGAGAAGCTGGACCAAGACTGGAAAGAAATCCAGACCCTCCTGACTCACAAAACTCCCAAGTCAGAGAAAAAAGAGAAGAAGGAAAAATTCAAGGTAGGAAACACCCTGTCAGAACCAGCCCGAGTTTTCATTATCATCTCCTGGCCCGCTTCCTGTCAGGGCAGGGTCGTTTTGTTTTTCAGTGTTTGTGTGTGCATGGAGGTCAAAGGACAAAAGAACTTGGTTCTCTTTTTTCCATCGTGGATTCCAGAGATTGACCTCCTTGTCAGACCTGCGCTACAAGCATGCAAGCATTTTTTACCTATTGAGCCATCTTGCTGGCCCTAGAGGAGGTTTTCGGTTGGACATTTATGTTAGTTTATCTGATGTTTTTTATATTGGGGTGGGAAGTGGCCAACTCTCTTCTATCTCTACTTTAAGTGAGTTAAAGATTGTTTTCAGGTGAGAAGTAGTTAGAGGTGGAGACACGGGGTGTGCATTTCAACTTCCTTTTATACATTTGTGTGTTCTTACATGATCACTTAATAAGCATTTCCTTAATTTTTTCCCTCTTAAGTATTGTTTCTTGCTACATTTTATACTTATTTATTTATTTATTTATTTATTTTGGTCTTTTTGAGACAGGGTCTCCCTGTAGCCCCAGCTGGCCTGGAAATCATTACGTAGATGAGGCTGGCCTCCATCTCATAGAGATCCACCTGCCTCTACCTTCCAAGCGCTGGGATTAAAGGCATGTGCCACGACACCTGGCTTCATTTATTTTTTAGATAGGCTTTCTTATAGCATAACCTGGCCTGGAATTCAATATGTGGCTAAGAGTGGCCTTGAACCCCTGATCCTCCTGCTACTGCCTCACATGTTCTGGGGTTATAAACATGTCCCATTATGCCCAGCACTGATACATTTGTAGAGTAAGTTTTTATTTTTAGGACTAAAAA